TTGAAGTTCACTTTGGTGCGCTGCCCTTGTGGAGCTTCAAAAGTCAGGGTAGCAAGGGGTAGGCTGTGTCACCCAAAATGCACATAGGCGTGTCCATGTCCCCGATTCTGATGGTGTGGTCGGGGAAATTAGTGCTGCTGTGCATCTTCTGGAACAGACTTGAGTTCTGGAATATGCAGGTGTTGTGCACCTTCCCCAACCAGCCAACATTAATCTGTTAGGGTATGTCTACACTACCACCCTAGTTCGAACTAGGGTGGTAATGTAGGCAACTGGAGTTGCAAACGAAGCCCGGGATTTGAATTTCCCGGGCTTCATTTGCATCTTGCCGGGCGCCGCCATTTTTAAATGTCCGCTAGTGCGGACTCCGTGCCCTGCGGCTACACGCAGTACGGACTTTGGTCTAACCCAGTACGGCCATTCTTATGTTCTTATGTTCTTAATGTCTGTGATCCAGCCCTTATGGTTCACCCTGGCCTGTAGCACCATCGGAAAGAACCCTTTCCTGTTGATATAGTTTGAGGCACGGTGGTTGGCGGCGTTGGGGAGAGGGGAATGGGGATGTGTGTGCCGTATATGCCTGCCCCCATAGTTGGGGAAGCCCATGGCAACAAAGCCATCAACAACGGTGTCCATGTTGCCCTGAGTAGTGACCCTCCACAGCAGGATGATGTTGATGGCCTTGGTTACCCACAGGACTTTGGATTTCCCCATGCTGAACTGTTTCCTGATGGAGTGGTAGCTGTCCGGCGTGGCGAGCTTCCATAGGGCGATGGCAGTGCACTTCTTCAGGGGGATGGCAGGTCACAGCTGGTTGTCCTGTAGCCTGAGGGCAGGAGCAAGCCACTCGCAGAGCTCCAGGAAGCTCTGGAGCCACTGCTGGTCATCCCATCCCTGCAGGATGATGCAGTCGCACCAGTTGGAACTGGTCTCTCTCTGCTAGAAGCAGCATTCCATTGTGTCCAGTGGGTTTAGGGGCAACCTGGACAGTGTGGACGAATTGCGCCCTGAGGCGCAACACAAGGCCTGTGAGCCTGGCATAGCTTTGCAGCAGCTCTGGCTCTATGATGTGAGTGCTGTGGCATCTGCAAGAGCAACCAGAGCACACTGCATCCGTTTTGGTGTCCCACAAGGGGGTAGGCAGTGGAGGAGTGGCGCTGAGATGCAGCTGTAGAGAGAAGCTCCTGTAAGCACGTCTCAGCTTGCCTGACCAAGCAGCCACAGGAAGTAACCACCCTCCTGGTGCCCTCCCCGGAGTGCTTCCAGGGGGCTCTAAGTGCGAGATAGGCACCAGTCAGTGTGGACGCACTATTTTGAAATGATTCTGAGCCATTTCGATGCTCCCCCATAGTGCAGATGTAATATTTCAATTTTGTTATTTTGGGAGATATTTCGATTTTACTTATTTTGAAATTATTCCCCAGACATGCCCATACAGACTAACACAGCTACCCTGTAAGACTTATAAAAGTATGTTTCTCAGAAGTATCTGCTTGCAGACTTTTAACAGCTTCCTTGACTTTATCTTAGGGCAAATGTGTCAGACTGTGAAGAAAAAGTCACCGTGTTTTGTGGTGTTGAGTCAAAATATTGTTAAAAGGGTTAGGATAAAGCAAGCAATTAATGAATCATTCTTAGTGAAGACTAATATCAGAGACCCCCTCCAGGACTAAAATGCCTTTATGGTGTACTCACTAACCTTTTTAATGAAGCCGTTATGACTGAATTTAATTAGGCATGTATGAGTAAACTCATGAAAACAGGTATCTAAAAACAATTTAAAACTGTTTTCTCAAAAAATGAGAACTTTTTCCTTGTTAGCAGATTCCTCTTTTCACTTTCCAGGTAACTGTTTTTATTTATTTTTTCTAAACATAACCATGAGGATAGTCTACCACTCTGGCTTTTGGCAGGATATGTGCCTTTTGACTAGTTCAGTCTGTTCCCGGAATGACATTAATGTGTTCACATTTGAAACCCCTTGAGTCAAAACACGTTTGAAAGAATCTGAACAAAAGACACAGCCAATAGAGTCTTAACCCACTGAGTCTCTAGTATGAATGGCAAGAAATGCTCATGGGCAAAGATGTATACATCTAAAGCACTTATAATTAAAATTCCAAAATGCTGCTGCCGGCTCAATCCAGACTTTCTTAAAAAACTCATATACCCAGATGTTTGATCAGCCAAAATGCTTTTTGGCTGCAGGGTGTTTCTTCAGCATGAACTTCTAAACAAAACAATAATTATCCATTGGACATAGCAAATTATATGCTCAGATTGGAACTCAGACAGTAGTGCCCAATATACAGTATTTCTAACAAGAAGCATTGATACAATTTCTTTGCATTATCCTATCACATATAAGTGTGATATTAACTACTTCAGTTAGTACAACAAGGAGCAATGAAAACAGTATATTTAAAAATAAAAACGCTTTAAATAAATGTATGTACTGAATATTAGGTTATAATGGTATATTTTAGAATATTGTTGTTTATATATCAGTTTGAAAGGTGTACCTCCATTACTTTTTTTTAAATTCGGGGGCTGTGCTCCCTGCTTGCTAAACTTGCCAATCCCCCTCTCTCTGGGGGTAAGTGCCTAGCCAGTGGGGAGCAGGCAGGAGCAGACACAGGATAGGTGTCTGGCCAGGAGGAAGGGTGCAGGAACAGGCTGGGGGCGAGGGTCTTAGTGGAAGAGATGAGTGGAGGTGCGAGGTCTTGGCTTGGGGGGGTATGAGTGAGTGGGCTGGGGGTTTGGTGGAGGGAGTGTGTGAGAGGGCTGAGGGTGTGTGGTCTCACTTTGGGGGGTAGGAGTGAATGGGCTGGGACAATGCTACTGGCATTCCAGCCTTACACCCCGCAAGTCGAGACCCCTCACCACCACCCGCTCACTCACTGCCTTGCTGAGACCCTGCACCCCTAGCCCACTTACTCACCAGCTCCAGATCAGCCTCCCTTGCCCCCCGGGCTCCCCTCCTAGCTAGGAGCCTGGAACTGGTGTGCCAGTGCTGGCTTCCTGCAGAGGGAGGGAGACAGCCTCAAGGCTCCCCACATGCTGCTGCTTCCCTTCCTCCTCCCCTGTCTGGAGGAACAGCAGCAGGAACAGGCTCCTTGAAGCGCATCCCTGTACTGCAGTGCCCCCAGCCAGGGAAGGGGGGAGAGAAGTGGCAGCATGTGGGGAGCCCTGGGTCTTTGTCCCCCCTCCCTGCAGGAAATTGGCACTGCTGCTTCAACCTTGGTGGGGGGAGGTGGTAGAACTATGGTGTGTGTGGGGGGGCTGGGAGTGCGCCATCTTCTCTGGGTGGTGAGTGAGGGGGCTGGAGGTGCGTGGTCTCAGATGGGCAGTAATTGAGCAGGTTAGGGATGTGGAGTCTTGGCTTGGGGAGGTGTGAATGAGGGGGCTAGGGATGGTGTGAGGAGGTGCTGCAGCCAGTGGGGTGGGGGTGAAGATGCTGGTCAGCGGGAAAGGTGGCTGGGACCAAGAGGCAGGCCTGGGTGGCTGGTGGCGATGGTAGCATGGCATGAAGAGGGGCTGCAGCCGGTAGAGCTGTGGGAGAAGAGGCCAGTCAGCGTGAAAGGCAGGGATGTGTGTTCTGGGCTTAGTCTGGCTGGTGGTGATGGTAGCATGGCGCGAGGAGGGTCTACAGGCTGTGGGGGAAGAGGCCAGTATGGAATGTGGCCAGAATCAGGGGTTGGGGGTAGGTGGTGGTGGCTTAAGATGACCTCCTGCTGTGGGGAAGCAATGTAAGGGCAAGAGGAGCTGCCTGTCATCCTGCAGGAAATTTAGATAGATAAATAATATGCACCACAGCCCAGAATGCTCCAAAATAAACACCTCCTGAAGAAATAAACTTCTGGAAAGAATTCATTTTCTCTGTACTACTATGTGTCTATTGTATAAAGATAATGACAGTAACATAAAAAGTCCTGCAGAAGGACTATGCAGTAATTTGAGCATTCAAGTCAGCTAGTAACTAGAAACACTGATCTGGTAACTTACAGAACCACTTTAAAAGTTGAGATGTGCCATTGGCCAGATATGCTATTTTTAACAATCTCTATCACACCCTGTAGTGGAGTACATCCAACAATCTAAAATTAGCATTGTATCCTGGATATGATACTGCTAGTGGTTCGCATGTACTAAATAGAATCAAGACCCCTGTTGTTCAAGGCAGGTCAGAGTACATGTTTACTTTAATACATTATGGGTGTATGCAAAATTATATTACAATGATTATTGCCTTGTTGTTTTTATATTGCATGATAGGTGTGGAATGTGTTGTACTGGCGTAACAATAAAGCAACATCCGTATCCTGAGACATTTAAAATCATATAGCCCAGGTCTGCACCCTTGAAGTCAATGACAACATTGTAGTTGGCTTCAGTGGGAGTAGGAATGGATCCTAACTTGATGATAATATTCATAATAATTAATGTAGGGGAAGAAAATATGGGTGTTGTTCATCAGTTGATTACAATGATGAACAAGATGAAGGCACATTTTTATACTTTATAGTATTTTACTTATTTTTTAATCCTAATAATGAATTCTGTACGTCAATGACAACATTGTAGTTGGCTTCAGTGGGAGTAGGAATGGATCCTAACTTGATGATAATATTCATAATAATTAATGTAGGGGAAGAAAATATGGGTGTTGTTCATCAGTTGATTACAATGATGAACAAGATGAAGGCACATTTTTATACTTTATAGTATTTTACTTATTTTTTAATCCTAATAATGAATTCTGTACGGGCCAGAGAAAAATCCTCCATTCCCTAAATCTAGGGAA